GGAAAAGTACCGGTATCAAGGATCGTCGTCGAAAAGGTTGTTATGAATAAATAGGTAGGCGTACGTACCCAAGAGATGGGCTATGGGCCTATTGGCTGTATGGTCCAGCGATTGCATCACACGGTGAGTAGAAACAGAAAGTGACACATTGGAAAAGCGAGTTTAGCATCATCCGTAGACCTCTGTTACAATCACCCACTGCAGTTGTGATTTTTTTTACTTAACACTACACAATCGCTATTGAAGTGCAGTCAATGAGTGGAAACCTTGTTTGTAAGCTATTGGCGACGATCACTATACAACACTGATTCAAGGTCTTTTTTCTGATTATAAAAACTCAAGAACAATTTTATACACAAAGAATTTCTGTTTCCTGACCTGGATGATGCCTAGTTATTTAATTTCATTTACGGTTACACTACAATATTGCACTTGCGATTAATTAAATCCGTTATGTAAGAAAAACTTTTTAATTTCACTTGGTTAAGATTTGCTTTCCAACGTGATCGGAAATGGTTACGGTATTTGTAAACAAAATTTGTAAACATATCAGGGACAGCTAGAAAAAAATATTCTTGATCCGAACAGCTGTTTGTTATTTCATAGATGATTATGTGATAAAAATTTAACGAAAATTTATTTAGAAAAAATCACACAAAACTGCATTTTTGAACGTCCGTAATTTTGTTTACAAAGTAGTGAGGCCATATTTTAATGGCTAAAGACACTTTCGCCAATCCAGTGTATACATTAAAATGACTTGGATCTTGATAGATACTCTCGTTTTCATGGAGAAGATTGCGTAAAATGCCATCTTGAGTGTTACAGACAGACAGACAGACAGAAATAGAGATAAGACTTGTTTCTGCTTCTTTAATGTATAAAACGTAAAAATAGCCTAAAAATATATAATTCTGAGCAATGTACAGACAAAACTCTAATTTTATTTATATAGATTAAACTAACACATACACTAAGTACTGACTTAAGTCTGACAGAGTAAAAAATTTAGAAAACTGTTTGATGTTAAAGTCTTTGCAAAAATAGCCCTGATCTTCTCATGATTTATTTCATTACATTTTACAGGAATCCCAAGTACGGTATCAAAATTATTTATACAGTAGATAATTTTACACGACTAGCTATACACTGAATACTTGGTAAACACTTGAATAGCAATCATAAGGTGACGCTAATGGCTCAGTTACACCATAGACAAATAGAATGAATATAGACTGTCAAAGAAAGGTTCCGACGCCCACCGCTAGGAGTTCTGTGTAGTTACGGCGCACACCGTGCAGGCGAGGAGCCGTATGCGACCAGCAGACGCTGCAGCAGTGTGCGCCGTAACTGCACGGCAAACCTAGCAGTGGACGCCAGAACTTATGCTAACCGCAGCACAGCTGACGGTCTATATTTGTCTATTGGTCTACGGTTACACAGAACAATTCATAAGCTAACAGCTTTGTTGTACACAGATCCCAAAAAGTCCAGTGTACTCGCAGCTCTTGGATAGTTGCTATTAAAGCTCTGGATAAAGTTGACTCTGCCGGAAACTTAACACATCACTCACTAGCTTTTGAGCGCTCTAGATTTTAACCATCCCAAGTGTACCCAGAGTTATTTCTGACAAGCAACAAGTAGGATTTGATTAGTCTTGATGATGACTAATCCCCACCCGCTGAATATGAGGAATTGGTTATAAGTCGGAGCTGCGTGTCTAATACAGCAACAATCCTGTTTTTTATGTTTTTTTCACTCTGGCTAATAGCTTGTAGTATTTTATTTCACTCACCACCTTTGTTTGAAAATCAGTTCTACCAACTCCAATCATAGTATGACTGTTACAGGTGACAATCATCGACTACACACTATCCAGGATCTCATTTAGAGAAGACGTTCTGTACTTGGACCTGGAGCAAGACCCGGAACTGTTCACTGCTACAGGCGATTATCAGTTTGAAATCTACCGAGAGATGAGGGCTGATCTCAAACAGAACTGGAGGTCTCATAAGCCGAAAACAAACATCAGGTAAAAGCTTGACTTTAGGTACATACCATCTATATGGATCAGCTGATGCCAGTTTTGTATTCAGCCTATTTTAAGCTGTTCATTCAGCTTGGCTTGGTTAAAAAGTTGGTGCTTCTTAAAGAAATTGATAATTTACAAACTACATCAGTGTATTCTATTAATTCAAATATGTTCATTTTATTCTAAATCTGGCTACAACTTAATCATTGGACTAGAAAACCTAGTTTCCTTCTAGAAGTTGTCATTAGCCATAGAATGAATCTCGGCTGCTGTTCAAAAATTGACACCACCAGAACATGGGTCATCTACCCTGACAAATTGGTGAGTCGGTAAAGCCACGGACTTCAAGCCCAAGGCAGCGATGTTGTGGGTTCGGATCCTGGTCACTGCCACAACTTTTATCAATACAGTTCATCCTTGTACAATACCGGTCCACTCCTTGCTTTGCTGGATACATTCCACGCACAGGCTTCTGTGGATATGCAATAAAAGGACGCCACAAACCTCTTTTGAAAAAACCCGTACTTTTAAAGGGACCAGTGACACATTCGATTACACTGAGGCCAAGCTTTTCTAGATAAGATAATCAAATGAAGGTAGGAACATTTACTTAACCTTATGTACCCCTCGTTGGCGATTCTATTTCTAGACAATGATATTAAATTTGTCTTCAAACTGTGTTTGCTGAAGTTCTGATTCCTACAATAAAAGCAAAAGCTAATTCAATGAATGTTTGACATGTTTTAGGTGGTTACATTATCTCATAGACAAATTTACAAGCAGAATCAAATACAAACAGAAGAAAAACACTAAAGTCTTCAGAGATTGTATGGACAAGATGTTGAGACTGAGAGAAATGGTACTCGACTTTGAGAGCGCAACTGACTTGGCCTTTCATCTAATCTACTTCCATTGCCAAACATCGTCGCTGATCAGGACTGAATAGTCTGCCAACTGTTCGGTAACTGGCATTTTCACTCGATCTCGTTTATTTGCGTTTTAGCAACTAAAAAAAATCATTTTCACAAAAGACTTTAAAAAAATCCTTAAATAATGATTACTGTTACAAATTCTGTTTCAAATCAAGATGTCTTTATTGTTGTAATTTTTTAATCCTTTTTATATTTCATGAATCTTTATTTTTGTATTAATATTGTTGAAACTTCTATTAGAGTATAATTATTTGTACATACTTATTTATTCAGTTTGTTATTTGTATTAAACTATGCTTGTTTTATAATTGATTTTTGAGTTTTTCATTGTTCACTACATAAACTGAACCCTGAAATACTAGTCATGTGTAAAGTTTTTTGTATTATATTCTTCAATAAAATACCAATTGCTTGCTGTCAAATTCAGTAAAGATTGCTGCTATGAAACTCAGAACGGTGTGAGGTACCAAATTTTAAGGGGGGTAAAAAACGTATTGGTAGTCAACAAACACCATAACTTACCCGATTTTTACCCACAACATCCTACTCCTAGGCCTATGTGTTGGCCATAGCTTGGGCTATGGGCCACAGAACGTAGGCCTACTTTTAATAACAGTGAAGTACACAAACACACCCACAACGATATATTTATTCATAATAGCACTTCGTTTCACATAATAAAGTTAAAACGACCGATTTTACGAATATTTAACACGCCGATGACAACATCACTTAACCTCGAAATGGTGTTTGTTGACCACCGACAGACGACAACTAGACCGGCTCAACAGGCGAATCCCCGATCAGCTGTTGGCTAGTTTCCGAAATCGCCACCGCAGCGCTTGAGCCGCGGCCGAGGAAATCGGGATTTGAGCCGGACAAGAATTAATCGCTGTTTGACCGCCGACCAGCTCGCACAAATTACGAATACGACCCTACGATCCTATTACGAAGGTTAGCTAACACACTAGTTAGGCCCTTTTTTTACGTTTTACGTTATTTCTGTTTTATCTTACGCTTACTTAACTTATTATACCTTTTTCGTTTTCTTAATATTCCGTTTCGAATTATCTAAATTTAATATCTTAACTTGAGTCTTGACCCGCCAGTTCCTGCCTGCCAGTGACTAGCGGTGGCGATCGTTTATTTTATTTTAATTAATTAGTTTCGAAATTACAATTTATCCGTTCGCTTAACAAATAATTATCACGTCCAAATTATATCTCGTTTTCACCGTTTTAATACCCCGAGACTTGTCGTCTAAGTTCTAAACCCCGTCTTTGGCGGGTGAAAGAATCAAGTCTTGGGAGCAGGCTGATTTGAACAATCAGCTACGTAGATTAATATTAAATCTATTTTAAACAACATCACGATAAATTCTCCGTCCAATTATATTAATCAGGCCCCAACGACTCTGTAGGAATTATTTTTACCTTTTATTCGACATTAGATCGATTACCAACGTCTTTGACTAATTAGTTGCATTTTAATACTAGTATTTACATCAAATTGGCTTATGATTGGATACTCGTCGGTCCTACAGAGCCAGTATAAAAGTTAGGCAAAATTATCCAAAACACCTTAACGAAGGCTGGGATGATATAGCTCCAACTGGGCGTCTGCAGGATTTCCTGAGCGCTTCTAGAGCTCTGAGCCTTCGATTAAATTTAAATAAATTGATCAGTCAAAGCCGTGACAACTTCGTATCGACCCCTGGATTTTTCTCGGCTCCTTCTGAGCACTCCGGGGAAGAAATTTGAGTGTGGCCGGTTTTAGGGTAGGCCTAGCCTGACTTTGGTGAATACTAGTTTATTCCCCCCCTAGAATTTTGCGTCACAACTGGAGATTTTGTTTTCTAAAATACAAAGCCATTTAGTTTAAACACCGAGAAGTAAAGTACAGAAGAAAACACTTGGACGACTGAGCGCTTTCAGCTCTAGTATGTTGTGTCGGAAATGTACTTGTGACGAGCAAGGAAGAGCCGGAATGGCGAGCACTTTGTGGAAATTCCTATCGCACAAGGGTCTTCCTACACTATGAGCGTTGCAGTACTTGAGGGGGTCGATGTTGAACTTTCCTTAGCCATCAGTACTGATGCTAATGGCAAGGCCATGACTCAGTGTTTGTCTCTTGATGCAAATAACTTATACGGCAAGGCCATGACTCAGGTTTTGTCTTTTGATGCAAATAACTTATATGGCAAGGCCATGACTCAGTGTTTGTCTCATGATGCAAATAACTTATATGGCAAGGCCATGACTCAGTGTTTGTCTCTTGATGCAAATAACTTATATGGCAAGGCCATGACTCAGGTTTTGTCTTTTGATGCAAATAACTTATATGGCAAGGCCATGACTCAGTGTTTGTCTCATGATGCAAATAACTTTTATGGCAAGGCCATGTCTCAGTGATTGTTTTAGGATGCAAATAACTTATATGGCAAGGCCATGTCTCAGGGTTCGTCTCTTGATGCAAATAACTTATGTGGCAAGGCCATGAGTCAGTGTTTGTCTCTTGGTGCAAATAACTTATATGGTAAGGCCATGACTAAGGTTTTGTCTTTTGATGCAAATAACTTATATGGCAAGGCCATGACTCAGTGTTTGTCTCTTGATGCAAATAACTTATATGGCAAGGCCATGTCTCAGGGTTCGTCTCTTGATGCAAATAACTTATGTGGCAAGGCCATGACTCAGTGTTTGTCTCTTGATGCAAATAACTTATATGGCAAGGCCATGACTAAGGTTTTGTCTTTTGATGCAAATAACTTATATGGCAAGGCCATGACTCAGTGTTTGTCTCTTGATGCAAATAACATATATGGCAAGGTGATGTCTCAGTGTTTGTCTCTTGATGTAAATAACATATATGGCAATGTCATGTATCTTTCCGAACCGAATCCGACCCGATTTTCCTGATATCTGCACACCTCTAGTTTTTAGTTTTGTACCTGGATGGTAAGCTAACGGCCTATAATCTAGTCTCGAAAATATCCCGTTAGTATTTAAATCCCGTCCGATGCTTCGTGATAAAAAAATCTCAAAGTTTTGGGTCTTGTCCATCACTATAAAATACCCTGTGTCTGTGTACAAGAAGATTATCTCTGTATATACAGGGCGAATAAAAGTAAAGACTCCCCCATCTAATATTTTTCTAAGTTAGAACACAGTTTAGACTTCTTGTACACAGTCACAGGGTATTTTACTTGTAGAACTTCACATTCCCGGCTATCAGTACTGTGGACCTGGAACGAATTTAAGGAAGAGATTAACAAGAGGTGATCCAGGCATACATAAATTGGATGCTGCATGCAAAAACCACGATATACAGTAGCATACTCAAGATTGAACTATATAGTAAAATATACACAGGTACCCTTTTGGTGGTGGTGCAAACTTAGTGCATTTTATGATTTTGAAAATTGTTAGTGTCCCCAAAAAATGAGGGATTATGGGCTCAACTGGAGATTACTCAAGATATATTAACCTTTAAACATTACCAATTTAATTTTAAACATTATGATTTAAATTGGCGTTCTGTTAATTAGGTTTTTTTACCCGCCCTTATGACAGTGTGTATCTGGATCCGGATCCGGTATCGACATTTTCTTGGATCCGCCCATCACTAGTTTAAATGAATCCTTTTGGATGCTCTTATCATAGTGAGTTTGTCCTGGTATTTATGGTAAGAATGTTGCTAGCAGAACCTATTCCCTGAAAAAAGTAACATATTACTTAACGAAGTTTTACAAACACATAATTACATGAAATCAGCTGATTATACAATAAGTCATTGCCTCACTTTCAGTGGCAATGACAATAAACGAAAACATAACCTCTCTAAAAAGTTATGAGAAGTGATTGTTAGTAATAAAAAACCAGATTGTTAGTAATTAAAAAAACGGTCGTAGGTAAAGTAGTGTACGCAACTCGCGTTAATAGTCTTTACGACACTCCTAGAAGTTTTTAAGGCACGAGCCTTCGTAAAGACTAACTTAACACAATCGTTGCGTAAACTAATATATTTAATTAGGTTATTTAATTTATTCCAACTTTGTTCCTTTTGATCAGTTTCATGGTGCATGGTGCATTATTATGGAGGAAATATGCAAAGGACATCTAAACTCTTTTAAAAGCAAGGGGGGCGGTAATTTATCTGGCGTTAATTGCGTAAGTTACTGGAATATGAATTTTAAAATTCCTCCGTAATTTAAGTTTTTATATATGCTGCAGCAGAAGGCACCAAGGCAATATAGTTTACTTCCACCATGAGACAGCTAGTGAGCCAGTGCCGATACTAAAAAGTCAATGTCTGTCATCCGGTAGAAGACAAGCTCGATATTTAACCGAATGCCTACCATATTGTTGTGAATCCAGCGCTATCCGCGTGATATGAGCCCCATACAGTTCATGGAAATCCATAATTGATTAAAAGTAGGCAAAATATGTACTGTCATTCACATTTCAGATCATGGCAGAAATGTTGTGGGTTGAGATCCCAGTGCTATCACACTATCAATGCTCTTAATAAATCTACCTTTTTCTTAGCTTGATACATGTTAAACTTGGAAGTTTGAAGCCAATGTGGAGCAAATGTGAGGGTTGTAAAGTGAAAAAAATTAGCCTTTGTTTTTTTTTCTTTCCAGACTACCTTCTCACTAGCTGTTGCCGAGACTGCAGCTGATTTTGAGCATCGGGACTTGCACATTGGCAATGTGTTGGTGCAGCCAACATCGGAAAAATATGTCTCTTATGTGCTGAATGGGCAAAGATTCGAGTGTGAATCCTTTTGGATGCTCTTATCATAGTGAGTTTGTCCTGGTCAAAGAAACAACAAAATTCACAAATAAGCAGCTTTATTTTGGGTGGTTGCAATAACATTTGTATGTATACAAACATGTGGATCGACTTCCAAGGATTAACATTGATTCTGGTTACGTACAATGCACCCAAAGGCAATGGTACCGGATACTATAAATGTGCACAACAAAAGTGAGGTCACAATAGCTAAAAACCTAATTGGTAACAACGTTGTTTCCAACCATGCATTCATTACCGTAACTTAGTTACACTAAATTATTGCAATTAATTAGGCTACAAATGTTTCAAACACTTTTACAGCCTAATTATTCAAGCATAGGTGGCAGTATTTTTTTCTACTTGCTTCTGTATTGATTGAGGATTGGAATTTGTGTTATATACATTATTAAATGTAAAACAACTATTTTGCTTAAAGTTAAAACTATGATCACTTATTTATTTGTATATTTTTTATAAAATTAAAGAAATCTATTTTCAGTTTTAAAATTTGTTTGGTTAAGTTTTTTTTCATGGAAACTAAATAAAAAAAAATTGTATAATATATATGTATTAGTTTAAAAATATCTACTCCTATTTTTATTTTCATGCATAACAAAATTTTTTGTTATTTTTTGTTTTTATAACAAATGGATTTACATAAACATTGTTTAAATAGTAAATGTAGCTTTATTAAATCTGGTCGGATTCAAAATGTCTAAATTCAGTTTGAATACCATACAAACAAATAAAAAAAGTTAAAAAGTAGTAATTTCAATCATAAAAACACCAATAAAATTAAAACTTTATCAATTTTGAAATTCACTTTTGATGTCTAAGATTAATAAAATAAAATAAAAGGAAATATTATAATGGAAATGAAGTCCTTTAAGTAGTCACTACACTACATAACATATTAATAAAAGCAACTATTATTACCGCATTTATAATTTAATTTTAAAAGTGTATATAGATGGATATGTAATAAAAAATGAGTTTATTTAGACTGATTTATGGCCTATTCATCCATACTACTTACAGTAATTAAATGTAAATTAAAATTAGTAGTAGCAAAATTATTTCACGGGAACCAGCACACCACAGGGTTAGGAACATTGGTTAACCAATCAGTTATAAGCTAAATCTGCGCAAACAATTATGATAAAGAACAATCTCACTTAAAACTATTGCACTTTGTGTTGACAAAAACAACATCTATAAGAGTAGTGGTTGTCGTATTTAGTTTATTTTACAAGTAAAACCAATTTGAAAATATTTTCACTGGAGTTGAATATTTTTCTTTCTATAATACGGTACTGTATTAACAAAACAATAGACATCAACTAGTAAGGCATACGGGTCACACAGCCAAATTGTAGAAAGCATTGCACTTCAACAAGTTAGTAACACGGGCGTCGCCGCCATAGGGGACATGGGGGACGCGTCCCCCCCAATATTTGAAAAGTCAGTTTTGTCCCCCCTGTCGCAAATTTTAAAACGAATTATAAAAATCATACAGAATGCGTGTTCACCTGATCGATCCCTGCCAGCAAGCAAGGTGCTCGCTCCGCTGTATGAATCGGAAGCGTACGACGTTGTGCGGCGGTGGGGGGCTGTACCGATCCACGATCCTCGAGTTGCACTGGATCCCTAGACGCTTGTCTAGACGTTGCTTCTTCTTCTCGCGTTTCAGTCGGCAGTTGTTGATACTACAGTATTTATATGTACGTTAAGTTAACCTTTTTCTCCTCGTGTGTTTTATGTGTAGTATCGGTTATATAGTTCTTTTAATTTAAACTTTTTGGAAGTAGGTACGTTGAACTGGTTCTTGACAAATGAAAAATGAAACGAGCAGAAGGACAACGAAATTTGTTATCATTTTTTAAAAAACAAAAAAAGGACAATGGTAAGTAAATACAGTATTATATATTTTTGTAAAAAATAACAAGAATTTTTCTGTAGATAGTTATTGATTTCATGTTACGGAATTAAAAAAAATTATAGGCCTACCGAAAGTAGGCCTAAATCAGAAGACAATATTTTAAAAGTGATCTTGGTGTCATTGGTTATTCTAACAGGTAGTTCGGAAGTCTTATTAAAAATGTAACTTTGTTATAGATCAAGAAACTGACGAAGATCATATTACACCTGAACAGAAGAAAATATTGTCGCCAACAAATTGTCGAAACAACCAAGACGTAGTGGCATCAGTTGACTGCTCTATTCGTCACACTTCTCCTCATCAGCCTCAAATTCTACCAGGGGATTTTCCGGTGCAAAAACTTTCAGGTAGAGTGCTGAAATTCCAGACCAGTTGGTATGAGAGATTTCCTTGGCTACATGTGGCTGGAGCTGAAGGGGTAAGCTGTTTTTACTGTACAAGATATGCTCAGTTGTGCCCAGCAAAAGCGCTGGCTACTAAAGCAGATAAGGCTTTTAGTGAAAAAGGGTTCAGTAACTGGAAAAAAGCTATTGAAAAGTTTGGAAACCACCAAACGAGTGATGCTCATTGCCAAGCTGTTTTAAGCTACTCTCAGTTACAAGCACCTATTGAGTCACAACTCTCACATGTTAAACTCGAACAACAAAAACTTGCTTTAGAATCTCTTATGACTATAATAAGTAGTGTAAAGTATCTCGTTAGACAGGGTATGGCAGTAAGAGGACACAAAAATGATGAAGGTAATCTAATGGAACTATTGAAGGTTCGCTGTGAGGACAAGCCGTCTTTGAAACAGTGGCTAGAAAAAGATATTACCTATACTCACCCTACTATACAAAACGAAATCATACAGATATTGGGAAATGAAATCATATATAGTATAGTTCAGAGCATTAAATTAAGCAACCCTTTGATGTACTCTGTCATTTGTGATGGGACGCGAGATATTGCTGGCAATGAACAGGTCAGTGTTTGTGTCAGGTGGGCTGATGCTGATCTCGAACCTCATGAAAGTTTTTTAGGCTTTTATGAATCGGCAAATACCTGTGGAAAAGATATAGCAGCTCTTATTTTTGACGTGTTGCTTAGATTGGAGCTCCCTTTGTCCAATCTTCGTGGGCAAACTTACGATGGAGCTGGTAACATGAGTGGTATCCATAAAGGAACTCAGTCGGTAGTAATAGAGAAACAACCACTTGCTGACTACATTCACTGTGGTGCTCACTGTGTCAATCTAGAAATGAAAGCAAGCTGTGAGACTTCAAGAACCGTCAAAAACGCAATGGATTGGGCTCATCAGTTAGGAGTATTGTTTTCGAACACAAAAGCTAAAGATGAATACAAACATATAGTTGAAGATGCAGCTCAAGGTCTAGTCAGTAATATTGCAAAAATAAAACCTCTGTGTCCCACAAGATGGATATACCGGAAAGGGCAAATCAATGAAATTTTGCAAAAGTATCCATTAATTTTGAAAACTTTGAATGAACTCACAGAACGTAAGTACGAAGGAGCCAGTGGTTTGTTGAGTGTGTTTGAAGATGGGACCACGTACTTAGGCCTGATTATGGGTAGAAAAGTTGTTGAACTTTTGGAACTACTGAACAAAAGTTTTCAAGGCGAGAAGAAAACAGTAGTTGGATTATATGAATCTGTTAAACTAATTGTTGATGGTCTGCAAAACCTCAGAACCAACCAGCAGTTTTCTTCTGTCTACGAAGAGTGTGCCAAGTCCATAGCTGAGCTAGGCCTAGAAGAATTAAGGCTCCCAAGACGAAAGAAAGTGCCTAAAAAGATATCTGAGGGAAATGCTAATGACTACGGCTACGAGTTTACTTCAACAGAAGAACATTTCAGACGGGAGTACTTTGAAGTCATTGAAACGGCTGTACATGGTCTCAAAACTCGCATACTTGAACAGGCTGGTATGAAAAAACAGATTCAGCTCGAGAAAGTCCTGCTAAGAAGAGACGGTTATGATGTCAGTGTGCTAGCGCCATATCCGTGTGACGGGTAGTCACCAAAAATTATTTTCAAAATTTTGGGATTATATTTCAAAAGTAAAAGACCTGGTAAATGGATTTCACAATGCATATACCAGTGTCAGAACATTGGCGTTTAGTAGACAGAATTCTTGATGACACGTAGCTTGCTCAATCGACCGACCCACAAAAACCGTAGACTTAGCAATTGTACTTTGGAGAGACTGAGGTCGGAGTTGACCGAAAGGAAGACACTTTGGCCCCTGACTGTCAAAGGGGACACTTCGCCGGTCTCCGGGTTTTTGGTAAGGCGATTACTTTATTAATATTTCAACTTTATAATTTTTGTGATTGTCCAGGCTAACTTACCTTTTTAAAGTCAGTGATTGATTGATGTTAATCGTAATCATTTTTATAATAATTGATTTCATTTATAATTTGTGTGAATAAATATAGTGACTATTAAATTCCTGTTTGAATATAATAACGTGTCAAAAAGAATTATAATTATTAGAGTTTTATATAAATTTCATTTGCTTAGGCCTACTTAAATAAAAGGAGCCTGTAATTATTTTATCATCCATTTTTATTATTGTCTTTATTGAATGAACGAAGTGAATTCTCATTATTATCTTTATCATATTGTCCACCCATTTTATTTGAATAGTGATTAAACATTCTTTTACCTCTCACTAAAGTATTCTTATTATTTTAAATCGATCCCGGTTACGCCCCCGGTCACAATTTCAATCGTGGCAAATGGTGGAGACAGCCGTGTCTTAAGTTTTTACTTAAGAATAGTTCTTTTGTGTTTACATCAATAATTTCTTTTGTTTGAGTTACATCTCATTTGTCTATAATTGTTAGGCCTTTGTTATTATTACCTGGACAATCGTTGTATGTTTTTGTGCATGCTAGAAAATAAGTAATATATATTTAGTGTTGTGTGTTATAAAAGTATTATCTATGTTTGATTTTGGGCGCGTGATAAGCGATTTAAGCCGTTTGATATACCCTCGTTGAGAATAAATAGCTTGACGACAGTGAGCTGCAGCTCATGCTTAATTCTCGTTGTTAGGCCTCTGTATTAATCTAGTTTTAAAGTTTTTAGCCACTCTTTCGTTTTATACGTCTTTTACCAGGTATTAGGGCTCGGTTATAATTAGCTTATTTACACAAATATTTTTGTTTTGTATTATTGAAGATTGCTTATGCGTATTATTTAAATGACGATTGATAACATTAACGCTGTTTAAAGTTAAATTTTATATCTGTTTATGTCTTTTATTTTGTACCTATTGATAGGATGCGATATGCTTCTATAGCGAGTTAAAAATTAGTAATGTGTTTCTTTAACGTAGGAATGTGTGGATTGATTTTGTTACATTAGCTCTGTGAATTATTTTATTTAGATAATTTTTTCATGTCATATAACAAAACTATGTGTAATGGCGAGTAATGGACGCACTAAGTTTGTCATACATTAAAAGCTGTAATAGAAAGGAGGTATTAAACTGGTATAAAAATTTAGGGCTAACTTATCCGGTAGACGCTGATCTAGACTATTTAAGAGGAAATCTTAGATTGTTAAAACTGAAGCACGATCAAGATTCCAAACTTACTTTGTATAGTTCACCAAGTGAGTTTCAAACTTATGATTCAGTTAATGAGTATCATAATGAGATAACTTTAGATAATAGACAACTTCCATCTACCGCCAACCCCGCCCCCGTATATCAAAATACCGACATCCAGACCTTAGGTGCAGGCTCGGGATCGCATACCGTCGACCAGACCAACAGTTCATTTCATACGCTTGAACCTTCAGAATCCGTCACTATGAATAGGGAAAAATCTCCTTTTTATCAACCTGGAAATTTCACGGGAAAAGCTGGTCAGGATATTCACATATTTTTTAACAAATTTGAGCGTGCATCCAAGATAAACGCATGGGATGATAATAAAAAGGTCTTATATCTTCCCATGTATCTGGAAAACGCTGCACTAAGTTTTTTTGAAAATCTTGAAGTTAAAAACCCTCAGGCTACCTATGAAGCTTACAAAACTGCTTTCTTATCGAATTTTGCACCGGTTGAAAGCAAAGAACTGCTTATGCTAGAGCTAAACTCACGAGTCCAACAACCTAATGAAACGGTAGCAGAATATACTGCTGACGTTGAAAAACTCTGCCGGCTGGTCGACTCGACAATGGACGAGTCCAAAATCTGCGGTCATATTCTAAAGGGGTTAAATCCTGCAATGTTGCAGCAAATTTCAATTTTGGATAATGCCACTCTAGGATTGTTAAAGGCGAACATTGCTAAATTTGAGCATGGTAATTACTTGTTAAGGCGTAGATTTGAGGTATTGGAGCCTAAGCAGTCCAGTCATGCTGATATTGAAGCCAAATTAAATTCTCTTACTGAAAAGGTGCACGAGATACATGTTTCTGCTAAAACCGACAGAGTTGAACGCTATGGTAAAGATAGAGTCGACGACAGATCCTTAGACGACAGCAGGCGATCTCGTAGGGATATCTCGCCCTATACTCCACATAGCTCTCGTAGTTTACCACGTCATGAAGAAAATAGGTCGTCTAGTTCCCAAAAGTATCACCGATCACCTGCCAGATCACCATACCGCGAGGAGAATAGGAGACCAAGTTATCGCCATTCCCCCGCCCGTACCAGCTATAATAATCGAGATGAAAGGGGACGTAGTCCTTACCGATCTGAAAGCCCTTACCACAAATCAAGGTCTTATACTCAGCTTAATTCGTACAGTGATCGTGACCGATACCCCCGCAGGGAAAATGTACATTATGGGGGCCGACCTGGTAAACAGGTGCATTTCTCTAACTTCCCCAGTCAGCCTTGTAGGAATTGTCATAACATGGGACATTTCACTGTTGACTGTCGTGCCCCTCGTTATCAAAAAAACTAATTAGGCCGGGGGATGATGAACCTCCCCCCGCTGGCCAAATACCTCGGAAGTTTAACGACAGTGTACATAGCATAGATAATGATGAGTGTAACATTTACAATCCATGCGTGCAAAAGCAATATCAGCAAAAGCATGTAAGGTTCCTTTCTGACTTTACAAAACAAATGAAAGCGGAAAGTGTTTGCAGCTCAGTTGTTACTCGGGGAATCAAGAAAAGATATCCTTTGCACGTGAACGGACTAATGGAGGGCAGTGAAGTAGCTATACTCTTAGATTCTGGAGCTAATATTTCATGTGTAAATAGCAAGGAGCTCAGGGAATCAAAATATATTATCAAGCCAACTAACGCACTCCTCACTACAGCGGGTAAAACCCATTTAAATGTGTTAGGTGAAGCAGAAGTGGAATTTCGCATAGACTCTAAGTGTTTTGTACATAATGTATTTGTAGTAGAGGAACTTAATTGTTCTTTACTGCTAGGAAATTATTTCTTGTCTCAGTATTGTACAGTACTCGATTATGATAAGCGAACAGTTACGTTCTCGTGCCAGGGTCAACGTACAGAGTTGCCGATGCTAGGTACCTGGACACGCACTTCAGCGCGCAATGATGAGTCAGCCGCTACACGTAGTGCCCCAGTACAAATAGTCTCAGTCGATTTATTAGATGCTTCCCAAAACTTTACACTAGATGCATCCAACGTGACTCATAATTTGGAAACACTTTTCCACGAGCCCGAGCCCCAAAACGTGACTTTAAGCCCAATTTCTAATGGTGTCTCTGATGTTGTAGAATCTGATATTCTAACGATAGTACCTAAATCGGACCCTCTACCTCCTAACTTCTCAGGAAGTATAACTGATAGTGGCGGGAACAAAATAGATATAAACCCACAGTTAACGCCTTCTCAATTCAAATTAGCACAGGAGCTAATAAATTCTTACAGGGACGTGTTTGCTAAGGATGATACAGACTTAGAGGAAGCAAATATTCCCCCGTACGAGATAAGAGTTAAGTCAGAGGAACCCGTAGCCCTACCTCCCTATCGGTTAGGCCCCAAAGAAAGGGAGGAATTAGATAGACAGGTGGACGGTTTATTAGAAGCTGGTGTTATTGAACACTGTCAGAGCCAGTATGCGGCACCTACTTTCATGGTGAAGAAACCTGGGGGGAAGTTTCGTTTAGTACATAATTATAAGAAAATTAACGAACTAATAGTGGATGACAAATATCCTCTCCCCCGGATAGATACTATCCTTGAGACCTTGGAAGGTGCGTCATTCTATTCTCAAATGGACGTAAATCAGGCATTTTTTCAACAGCCAATAGCCCCCGAGCATAGGGATTATACAACTTTCATAACCCACAAGGGGTTGTATCGCTATACCCGTCTCCCTCAGGGAATGAAAACTAGTCCAAATGCTTTCCAGCGATCAATGAACAGGGTTTTTGCGGGATTGCTGTATCACGGAATAGTTTTATACATTGACGACTTGGTCGTGTATGGTAACACTTTTGACTCGCAGCTTAAGAGTTTAGAAGAGACATTCAAAAGACTTAGGACCGCTCGTTTGAAGCTTAAGACATCTAAATGTCATTTTTTCTACACTAAAATTGAAATATTGGGGCATGAAGTACAGCCAAATGGTATAAGGCCCCTCCAGGAAAATATTCGGGCCATACAGGATTTCCCCCGTCCCCGTAAAGTCAAAGACGTGCGGAGTTTTCTGGGTACTGCGTCATACTATAGGAAATTCATCCCCAAGTACAGTGAAATCGCTCATCCGTTAACGCAGTTAACCAAGAAGGAGCACTGCGATTCGCGTAGCTTACCATGGTCAGAAGAGCATGAAACGGCCTTTAAGGCGTTAAAAGATGCGTTGACTACTCCACCCTTACTAGCTCATTTTAGTGACAACCTTGACACAGTGGTTATGTGTGACGCAAGTCGAGTAGGAGTCGGTGGAGTGCTGTGTCAGTACCAAGTGGACGGAACATTGCGACCCGTTGCTTACGTCAGCAGAACGTTGAAGAATACGGAGAATCGTTGGACTGTGTCTGAATTAGAACTTTTAAGTGTAGTGTTTGTAGT